ATATACATATACACATATATCTAGGAACAACGGAGTTCAACGATATATGTGCCCGGTCCCCTCCCCCCACCCTCTATAACGGCAATATGCATCTCTACCGGTGATTACAATTTCGGTTCTGCGCTGTGGTTTTCCCTCGTTGTAGAATTAGCAGAAATTCTGGCTCAGTGAGCAAAACAGTATCGTCGCCGCAACACAACACAACCGAAGCCCAAAGTCGACGTTCGAAGCTACCTAGCTAGCTAGCAAGCATGCTGCCTGCCTCTCTCTCTCTCTCTCTCTCTCTCTCTCTCTCTCTCTCTTTCTCTTCTATTAATAACGCATGCTTCTCGCGTAATTTCAATAGCTAGTTCCTTTCCTTTATACACATTCGATATAAGAAGGGAAGGAAGGGAGATTTTCCGAACACGTAGTAGTCCCCAGTCACCTAAAATTTACTATATTTTTTGTTTTTTTTTATTGCAACTATAAAAAAAAATATTGTATAGAAAATATTTAGTAGTGTTTAACGAACCATAATTATATTTTTATTTATTATTTATTATTATATTTATTTTTATATATTTATATAAATTTAATTTTTTATATATTTTTTAATATATATTAAAATATATAATTTTAAAATATATGTATATATATAAATTTAAATTTATTTTAAATTTATTAATATTACAATTATAAATATATATAATTATAAAATATTATAAAATATTTATATATATTACTTAATATTAATAATAAAATACATTTAAATACATTTATAATTCATTTTATAAACACACATACCCTGAAAATATTATATAAACTTATTGACCACCCTTTATAATGAAATCAACTAATTTATTTTTTTGTATGGAATGAAACATTTTCCCAAACCTTTAATATTTTTTTCTCCTTTTCTAAATCCGATTATTTATTTTTTATTTACAAATGTAATTAAACTTTTACCCCATATATCGTAAAAAAAAAAAGTTTGTAATTATTTCGCCGTAAATAAAAAAAATTAAAGTTAATACTTGAAAAGTTACAAATGTTTGATATTTAAGTTGAACAAAAATATCAAATACAATATCTTAAATGCTAGAATTTCGGTAGAACTCTCCTCCCCTATCTCACTTCGCGTGAGTTTTGTAACTCGAATATAGGTCTCGGGAAACGACTGAAAATGGTGGAAATAGAAGGGGTGAAGTGGTGAGAGAAAGAGAGGGAAGGAGAGAAATGGAAAAGGGTGTGAAGGATGCTCTCTAACGAGTTGTACGTTCAACACACGCTTTTCCTGGACTCTTATCGTTTTTGACGAGTTCATATATTATACACATACGTGTATACACGCACGCACGCATGTACACGTAAGTACACATATACATACATATATTCAATATTATTATTTTCAATGCATTTACTTGAACATTAAATAACATTTTAATACAAATCTGTCTAATAATTTCTATTTAGATTTTAGTAAAGTAAAAAAAAACATTTCAAAATTCACAATTACAACGACAACGATGACGACGACGACGACGACGACTGTGCTTCGTGTGCTGTAGATCTAATTTTAATAAATAAAATTAATTAACGTTCATAAATGTATAATTCTCGTATAAATCTCGGCGAGTTAAATAAAATGAAAAAAAAATAAAATAAAATAAAAAAAGGAATGAAGCACAGAGTGTGAAGGATATCCTTTAATGAGTTCCGAGCTCGTTTCTAGCCTCTCGTCGTTTTTGACGAGTCCATCTTCACTTATATATACCTGTATATTGTGTAAATGTATACACGCACGTGTATGTTTGACTGTATACGAAATAAAGATAAAGATAAAAATAGAAAGAGAGAGAGAGAGAAAGAGAGAGAAGGCTTGAAGGAACATTTTCAATGCCGCGTGAGAATTGAAATTCTAGTCTCTCGCAAGATCGTCGACTCCCATCTCTCTATCTCGCTCGAGGCGTCGTCTAAAATACATATATGTGTATGTATATGTGTGTGTGCATGTATTTCTATATACTGTATTTATATGTATATATACATAAGTAGGTATATACGTATAAATACACGCGATCATGAACGCATGCATGCAACTGCAACTGCAACTGCAACGGCAACGGCATTGGCAATGGCAACGAAGATGGCAACGAAGATGGCAACGGTAACGACGAAGAGGAAGACGAGGTCGGTGGTCCATAGAGGCAACGACACACATTCACTTCGAAGCAATTTATTTCGCTCCTTCTCTCCTCCTATGCTCGAAATATCGTACCTCGGATGTGGCGTGGAAAGAGTGATGGATGTTGGGAGCCACATCGTCCTAGGATACGCTATACACACACATACACACGTCGTACGAAGACGAGACGAACATCGTCGTAGTCGTAGTCGTAGTCGTTAAGGTCGAGTGGATCGTATATGGGACAGACTTTATATACTCTCGTACGATTCGCAGTTCTTCTGTAATACCCTTTCGTGAGCTTACGCGTCGATCGTTATCGTCACTCTATGTGTGACACTAAAACGTGAAAGAAGAAAAGAAAAGAAAGAAATAAAGAGTATTGGACGACAAGCGTTCCCCTTTTTTTCCACTTGCAGGACTTTGTGCGTTTGCTTTGGTCCTTCGTCATTCCATCTATCTATCTATCTATCTATCTATCTTTCTATCTATCTATTTCTCTCTCTCTTTCACACGTATGCAAGCATCACGTTTATCGGCGTTTCACTCGACCTCCGGCGATAAACCCGAGCGATATGATCGAACAAAAGAGTCTTTTTCTTCCTAACCGGTGCTTTAAAGTTTTCCTCTGAAAATCGACGAAGATCGTGGAAAATCGCTATCAATGAAAACCTAGCCCCCCCCCCTCCGTTCATTCTCTTTCTATTACATCCGTTTTGTCATATAACGTCTTCATCTCGTTGAACAAATTTTTCGATCAATTTTTCGTTAAATTTATTCCAACGATTATTATCGACATGTTAAAAAAAACGTAATATGTATATATATATGACCGTGTTGTAATTGTATTCGTATAATTAATTAATTGACATTTATAAACTGTCGAATTTTTTAGCAGATCGTTTCGCTACTCGAAAATATTACGATTATTATTCACTTCCGAGTATATTATCGAGAGGATCGGGCGAGGTATGACGAACGTCACGTTAAATTACCGAGCGTCACGCGATTTCGTCGTAAACGCATCTAAAACAAGGTGGAATAAAAAAAAATGTATAATGGGGGTATGAGGAGGTCTTACTATGTATATGGTTAAGGGGGTGCAGGTGCAAGGAAACACGTGATCAGCGGTCTGACCGAGTTAACGACGCTAGTTTTTGATAAGGGAATAAAATACTAATACTAATAATAATAATAATAATAATAATAATAATAATAATAATAATAATAATAATAATAATAATAATAATAATAATAGATAAGTAATAGTTGACTCACCTAATTGAACATACATCTTCGGTCGCACATTCTCCTGCCATGCCGCTAAGGCGACGCTAAAAATGGCGGCGACACACCAACAGAAGAGCACCGGGTGCATCGTCGAGGATGTGACCTCGGTGATACGACGTCTCATCTTCCTTGTCTCGATTTTATCGAGAAATACCGAAGGGCTGCCAGGATTCTTTATCTTAATCTCTCGACTACGAGGCGAGAGGAAGATTTCTTCTTCACTTTGCGAATTTAACTATTGCAACGGAATAAGTTTATATATATATATATATTGGTTTGATATGAACGCACCAGAATCACGGTCACTCTTTTCTATCTTTTTCTTCTTCTTCTTCTTTTTACAAGAAACGAGAAGACACCAATAAACACGTGAGATTTCGCGAGAACTCGACTTTCTCTCTCCCTCTTCTTCTTCTTCTTTTTCTTATTTCACTGAAGTTGAGAAGTTAAGAAAAAAATAGAGGAAAAGGTGTTAGTTAAGGGGGTGGAAAAGAAGAATTGACCCTCGAATATGATGGTGTTAGTCACGTGCGGTAGCGTGACGTCGTCGCCTTCCTCTTCTTCAAGTTGGTGGCACCTCGTTGCAGGTAAAACCGTGCTCGTCGTTCTCCAATTTTCGCCAAGCATGTTTCTTCCTCGAGAACGTTTACAAACGCGCGTTATTTCGGCCGATGAGAAGAATGAGAAAAGAAGTGAATAATAAAAAGAAAATAACAAGTCGTAGTGGTCACTGTGAATAGTCGTTGGTCGCGTCGGAACACGTCGACGGGGTCGTTGACGTCTCTTCGTCTCTTTGTGAGAAGAAAAAGAGAGAGAGAGAGAAAGAGAAAGAGAGAAAGGGAAAGAGAAAAAAGAGTAAAGAAGGATCGGTCGTTACGTTTCCTAGGACGAAGAAATGAAACGGAATCGTAGACGGAGTGGCGACACGCGTCGCGCGTGCGTGTGACACACTCGCGATTCGCGCACTCTCTCTCACACACACATACACACACCAACGAACGGACGAACGAACGAATAAACGCACGCACGCACGCACACGCCCGTAATCAGAAAAGATAAGGGAGAGAACAAAAATGAGGATAATATAATACTAGATACATATATATGTACAATTGATAAAGAGCGATCCGCACTGGCCGAAGGTCGGCACCGCACTGAGGAGCCTCGATAAAGGCGACAGGTGACAGCTTACCCTCACCACTCAGCCTGGAACCCGAGTAATGCCGAAATTTGACGAACTGAGCCGAGATAAGAGCGGGTCACGCAGGCGCCTGGCGCTTTCTCTCTTTCTTTCTTTCTTTCTTTACTTTCTGTCTTTATTTCTTCCTTTTTTTTCCTTTCTTCCTTCTTCCTACTACCCTCTATGTCTATATGCATGTGACATTGCTGCTCTTGGTATAACGTGAGAGAGACTGCAAAATCCTTATACCCCTTGCACACCCTATGCGACACGATATCACGCCGTTACCTTTCTTCTCATCGTCCTCGTCCTCGTCCTTACTATCTCGTCGCACCACCGATCTGGAAAAAAGATGCCAAGGGAGACGTTAGATAACAAGTTCTCATACTTTTCCTCAGACAAATTTATCTATGTGAAAAATATCATTTTATCTATATATAAAGTCACTGAGTCTTTATGAATAAACCAAATTGTATTGATATAACAAAAAAATATTTTATTCATTACAATAACATGATATATACAAAATTAATTAATTATTAATTACCTACAACAAAAAGAAACGACAATTTAAATCTATTCTTCTCTATCACTGTTATATCGAATATCACAAATTATTAAATCTTTGCTTATCTTTCTAATCTTTGTTCTTATATGTTCATTAATTCATCAACTCGACAACTTGACTAAAAGCGTGAAAGCACGGCTAATTTGAATTAAAGAAAATATACTTATGTGTATAGATATAAATTATCAAAGAATTAATTAAAAAAAAATCGAAATAAATATTAAATACATAATTCCATTTGTGTATTATTTAAAAAAAAAAAGAAGAACCGCGCAAAAAGATTAAATGCGATCTTTCTTAAATCTAACGTATTTAAAATTCATCTCAGCATTAGGTATGTATATCTTTTTATAAGCACAAGAGAAAATACGTAATCGTGGAAAATTTGCATACACGTGCTCCCTTATATTTTCTCTCTTCTAACATCCATCGTCTCTAAATTACCCTCGTCTACGATTTGACAAGGTATACACTGTATATTCTCCTTTTCTTCTTATATTTTTTTTTACCCTTCTTTTCTTTTTTTTTTGTTCTCTTTCACCAAAGAGGATCGTTCGCATGGATTATTTCTTGACCTCGTTCCCACATCGAACGGTCGCGTTCTCGCGCCACAGATTTGTTAGTGAGAGTACAACCAACGTGTATGTTAGCCTAGCTAGCTAGTCTACTAGACTACTAGCTAGCTAGCTGCCTCCTAGCTAACTTCATCCATGTCGACGAGGTTGAAAGAACGCAATAAAGGCACGACTAACGATCATCTCGTTACCGGCGTCAACGCGAGAACTCTCACAATTACGAGAGCAACGAATATATGATCGTTGGTGTCCTAAGCTACATATCGAATTCGTTTTCTCAGAAAGAAAACAAAAATCAGAGGTATAAAAGAAAGAGAACGAGACAAAAAAAAAATAGGAATTGGAATAATAGTAGTTTTTTTTGTTCATGCAATGTCACGTTGATCGGTAACCACGTAGGCATCGAACGTGAATTTGTAGGCGAATTTGGTGCAAACAGTGCGAATGGTTCCTCGTCGAAAAGTGTTTTGGCAACGAGCCTATACGCGAGCTCGTTACTAAATCATCTAAACGCGACCGATTGGATAGCAAGTTATATTCACGTTCTACATACATAGATAGATGCATGTATGTATGTATGCATAAGGTATATATGCGAAGCGAATGTCGCGACATCGACATGTCGAGGGTTTTGTTCGTTAATTCGCTGCTTTCAAATGATGAGGGAGGCTGCATCGAACCCCTAATTTCTACGCCAATGATTGGACCGCTCCCTATACCACGAGGGACACCCACTGTTTCGCTTTATTCGTTCCAACATTCATGCTTATATATATATATATATATATATATGTGTGTATGTAAAGAAGATAAGCGTGGACGCACACATACACACACACAGGAATCGGATATATACGGGTAGCTTTTTTTTTTCTTTCTAAATGATCCTCTTTATCACCTCCTTTCGGTTGATCCATGACCCTTACCCTTATGTGGAAAGTCTTTTTTTTTTCAAAGAAGAAAAAAATAATTGTGTTGAAGAATTTAGCATCGATTTCGTATTTATATTTTTCTTTTATTTGAGATAATTCTTTTTGATCTGAAATTATATCTTTATCACCTCATTTTTATCTTTCTTTATCTGCTATTCACGGTAAATGATTTTCCACATAGCTCAAATTTTTTTTCTCGTAGCTGGTTTTCTCAACTTTTTCATATGAACGTAACTTGAAGACTCTCGGGAGTATTATAAACGCGTACCTGCTTACTACTATCTTTATTTCGTCGTACGGTAGATAAGAGATACTCGGCAATATGACGAATTCAGAAACGATGTGAAGAGCATTCCCCTTTAAAAGGTGAGATTTCTCTTTATCGAATAAGTATTCCTTTATAGAGATGTTTCCCTTTAACTCACATAATCCAATCACTTTCTTCTCCATTTTATTTTTCTGTTTTTTACTCCACCAGAAGAAGAAGAAGAAGAAGAGGAACTTGGTGCATTGAGTTGCCGGAAAACATTAAAGAAAAAGAAGAAGAAAAATGTCAGTGCTAGAATTTGAATTTTGGCGGGTAAATCTCTTTCACGTATTACAAAATTCTGGTGGAATACTCACAGTAAAGCTCTAGAGCTTTTGCGTTGGATGGAAAACGTTAATCGTGGAAGATGAACGGTGAGGCTGGGGCTTATCTCGCAAATGAAAAAGGTTTCGCGGGATGAATCTAATAATGGTAATGTGCGTGTAAAAATTGGACCATCTCCAAATATCGAGTTGCAGCCGGCGGCTTGGTCCTGCCTCCCTGCCTGCCACCCTCCCTGCCAACCCCCTTCACCGAGGTTTCATAACCTTTTCCATCGGTGATAATTTTGCAGTGCCAGCGTGAAAACGAAATTACGGAATTTCGTTGCTGGAATAATACCACGCGCGCGTGTGCACAGAAATCAAAGATAATAATATTAAAATAAGCTTTTACTTCTTCCAACCCTCTATCCAAACCCTTTTCTTCCCTTTCTTGCCTATTTTCTTTTAAGAAATAAAAAATCTTTGAAAATCGTTAACGTTGCATTTGCCAACAACTTTGTTTCATTTAAAAAATTATATTTTTAACGCAGGAAGACCCAAGTTGATTTATTTTTTAATTTTACACAGTTATAGAGCCCAATTTTTTTCATTCTATACATTTGTACGACCTCATACTCAATCATATCCAAAGAAAAAAAAAATAAATTAAAACAATTAAAAAAGAAAAAATTATAGAAAAAAATATACATGGGCGGTGTTGAAAAGTTTTGAGCCTAACAAGCAAAGGGCGGGAAATATGTGAACCTACCAAGAGATAGACTGAAAACTTTTGGGTTTCGAGCTTTACAGTTTTTCCATGCCGTGTTTGGCTCAAAACTTCTCTACCCACCTCGTGTTTGGCTCAGAACTTTCCAACCCACCTCGTGTTTGACTCTAAACTTTTCAATCTACCTCGTGTTTGGTTCGTAACTTTTCATCACATCCGTGTATATTTTTTATTTCTATAATTTCTTGTTCCTTTTAATTAAACTTTAAAAAAATTTGTTTTTTTCCTATCCAACATGAAACGAACTGGCATATACTATATTTATACAATTGATTTAATATATAATTATATTAAAATATAAATAATTATTTAAATATAATATTATTTAAATATTATTTATATATCATTTATTAAAATATAATATAATTATTAAAATAATATATTTTATAATTTATAAATTAATTTTAATTTATAATAAATTCGTCAAAACGTGTTCACTCTTTCTCGTATATATTGATATAGTAACGATCGAATTTAGAATCGTTGTTGTTTTTAAGTTAAACTCATGAAGCTCTTGTTTAGCTCGATATCATGACTTACGATATAGTCTCTTAACATGACGAGTAATCGTTACTACATAATCGTGCTTTGCAAGACTTTTCCACTGGGAATATTCGGTTTATGCAGCTTCTATAAGGCTACGTTTTTGAATGAGACTCTTGGGAATATTACAGAGAGAGAGAGAGAGAGAGAGAAAGAGAGAAAATTTAAAGGAAATATAAGCTCAATGAAATTTTCTTTCTCTCTTTCTCTCTTTTTATCTTTATATAAATGTAATTCATTCTTCATTTTATTCATTCAATGAAATAGTCATGAAATTTACAACGAGATATTCCAATGTTCTTTTTTTTTTTGTGGAAGCTAATATTTATTTCAACAATGTTCTCTCAGATTTATTTTACAGTTGTATTAAATAATTACAATCAAAATTTCTCTTTTATTTTCTTATAAATTATTTCGTTTTTCTATACTCGTACTTAACGTCTTTCAAGAAAGTGGTGGCAAAGGGATAGGAAGAGAAGAAGAAGAAGAAGGATAGGGAAAGGGAGAAAAGCCAGTCCTCTTTCTCGAACACTCGAAAGCCCCGTCACCTGATTTTCTTTTGATCATACAAGCGAGCATGCGTTGAGAATACCAAAGGAAAAGAGCTTGTCAGAGGGAAAGAGGGAATACGAACGAGGTATGCTTATTTCTACGGCTTAAGTGATTCAGCGATACGTGTATTTGGGTGTTAGAGGAAAATTTATGGTAATCTTTGTGGATTTCTATGCGATTTCAAAATCGTCCGGATTCTCTTGTTGTTGTTGTTTTTTTTTTTTAATTTTTATTTCTATCAAATAATGAATCCTTTGCTACGATACAGTTTTTGTGTTTGTTTGTCTTTTGTTGTAATAATATTGTTATTAGATTAACGATTAACCCTTTTGGGTACATTTGACAAATGAGACTCGTCATCTGCTTACGGTGAATGAGTCTGACTCGTCATCTGAATTTAAGAAGCTTATATAAATATTTCTATTTTGTTTCATTTATGTTATATTTATTTCTATTTTGTTTCATTTATGTTATATTTATTTATATTTTCTAATTGAAATGTTGTTGCATTATATTTATATCACCAATATAAATGTCATAATTATATATAATATATAAATATATATAAATTATATATACATTTTATATTTATATATATATTTTATTATTATTTTGTTTTGTAAAGGGAGAGAATAAAATTAAAGTTGAAATATTAGAAATATATATATATATATATAATATATAATAATATTAAATAATAATATTATAGATAAAAAATAATATTAGAATATTATATATATATATATATATATATATATATAATAAATAAACGTTCAGACAAAAAAAAATGATTTTGCAAGATAAATTTGTCCTA